GTGGTACTGGTGATCAAACTCGGGGGCCTTTTCTCTTGTGAGGCAGGTGGAAGAATCACTGAGCTAAATCCCTGGCCCGTGAATACCTCTTGATTTCCCTCTGCCTTTTGGGCTCTGCCTTCCTGGTGGCCTTCTTTTGAAAGCTTGTTCCTAAGCCCTCCCCCACCCTCTGGCAGTGCTTTTTGTCTAGTTATACTTATCCATGGCTATCATTTTATTTACTGACCATGTCACAGTCTTTTTGTAAATGTTTCTTATCCATTTCTTTCCTCAAAGTTGTAACTGTATGTGGAGCAGCTGCCTATCTGATATTTTCTCTTGTACCTATTTGAGACACGTATCTAAAGTGCGATTTGTATGCTATTTTCTGCTGAAGACAAAGTTCAAAACAGTAACTGCATCCTAAATCTTTTTCCTTACCATTTGCTGTTTTTAACACAGTTGTTCCGTTATCCATCCAGACATGTAAGCTAAAGCTCAGGTGTCATCTTGATAGCTGCTACCTTACTTTTCCTCTGTATTATCTCTGATTTCTATGGATTTAACTTCTGTATTTCTTTAATTCATCTACTGCTTCTTGTCTTCAGCCATTCTTTAGCTAAACTACTGAAATGACCACTGAGCTTCTCTTGGCCTCTGGCCTCAACCCACAGCCTGTTTTGTTATCATGAGCACTGGCCTCTGAGTGGAGACTACTGTGCAATGACAAGACTGGACTGGATGGTTTTCTGCTATCCTCTTTTACCCTTTCCCAGGACAGAGTTAAATAAATAACATGTAAATATTTCCATTTGAAAAAAATCTTCCTACTTCCTATCTATCTACTAATTGGCTATATACCTTAATAAATATGTATATATGCATATGTAAATAGATTGATTCTCATATAAGAGAAACCATGTGATATTTAAGTTTGCATATGTAACTTACTTTACTTAACATTATATTCTCAGGTTTCATCTATTTGCCTACGAATACTTCAAGTTTATCCTTCTTTATAGCAGAGTAGTACTCCATTGTGTGTAAATACCACCTTTTCTTTATCCATTTTTCTGTTAATAGGCATATCTGCTGTTTCCAAGATCTAGGTATTAAAATTGTGTTGCTGTAAAACATGGGTATTATAGTTTTTCACACCAGAGAAACTGTTCGGTATTTACATGTGTGACTTATTTATTTCACTTAAGAGCATATCCTCAATATGTATCGATTTTCCTACGAATGAATCTAATTTCTCATTCTTTATGGCTGAATAGTATTCCATTTTATAGAAAATCCACATCTTCTTTATCCAGTCTCCAACTGATGGGCAAATGGGCTGTTTGCAAGTTTTAGCTATTACAAACTGTGCCGCTATAAACATAGGTGCGCATATATCACTGTGATATGATTAATTGAGTTTTTGATGATAGCCATTTAAGAATAAATTCATACTTGTGGTTTTTTAGAGTTTCGAGTTGTTGTGAGGTATACATTTAAAATTAATACAGGTTTCTTTAAATTCATAATAATGCTTTTATGAAAGACTTGGTTTATTGAAATATAACTCACGTACCATACAATTACTTGATTCCAGGGTGTAATTCATCCTACTACATTCTCAGTATCCCCTCAGATTGTTTCTGCCCCTTGCCTAGTATGAATATTGCTTTCCTGAATACATGTGTAAAAGTTTTTATTTGAAGACATGTTTTCAGTGCTTTGAGTGTACACACTATGCCTGGGAGCAGATTGCTGGCTCATTCGGTAACTCTCCTTAACACGTTGAGGACCCACCACCTGCTTCCCACAGTCGCTGCACCATT